CTTATTTCATTTGCTCTGTGTATGTAAGTTCACCAGGATGGCGGCATGCTTTATTAAACTGACAACACCACAGCAAACCTGAACTGGACTTGAATGATTTTTCTTCAACAATATATTTCAAATGAATACACCAAAAACCATGCTGGAACATAAAACAAGTTACTATCCATACCACAATTTGCTTCTTGCAAAATGCTGCGTTCCTTTCAACTTCCTATTAAATATAGACAAAAAGTAATGTAAATACAAAGAGACCGCCAACTCACTAACCTAATTTTGGCAGGCTAATCTTAGCTTCGCTGTGGCTGTTTAGTGTGAAAAACCGGAGAGGCGACCCAGCCAGATAAAAATACACTTGCATTTGCAAGATAAATGTTTGGCTATTAATTCGTCGTGGTTCAAGGTTGTATAACAATGAATCCGACAGTCTGACAAAGTGTGTCTTGGTCCACTTCAGTGAAACCCACAGGCCCGTGATGACATTGTACCTGGGCTGGCAATCGACCATTAATCACTCAAGGAGTTGACTTCAGTGGAAAAATGCCAACACAGAGTTTAATCAAGGACTACTGTGACATAGATAATATAGCAAATGGTGTGTTCAAATCCTTAATCAATGGAATCAGTCTTTTTATTTCACCATATCAATACATCCATTGTGTGTTTTCAGAATGTTAATGGCAAGAGTGCTATTATTTTCTATTATAGTTTTGAACACAGATTTGATGTGAAATGACATAAAAAAAATATGAGAGAAAGGACATCAACAAAACTTTACACCCAGAACAAAAATACACACAGTTAAAGGAGAAAAACCTGTATGTATGGCCTTAAAAGTTAGACACACTCACAACTAAGCAGCCAATGAAAAGCGCATCTGTACGTATGTGATTACTGATCCAAACATTTACTCAGTAGACAAGAATAGATAGATGATGGATGGAAGAAGCAATGGATTTGCAGTCAAAATCTAAAATGAGTGTGAAAGCTTTGTTGGATTACTCAGCACATTTATCCCTCTCTCCTCGGGAGCACGCTTTAATCCTTATCTTGTTCCGATGGCAGAGCGTGCAAAATAAACATAGACTATGTCATATAACAGTCTAACATGCTGAAGCTTCACTCACAGACCTAAATTTACTAAAATACAACATAAAGTATGTCAAATTACATTTTCATTGGAGTGCAGCGTGCATGGTAAATTGTCTCAATGGTGATCAGTTTATCAATTTATAGCTTAAAGTATTCTAATATTATATAATAATATTGCAGTAATGAGCACTGCATAACACAATTAGTACATGGTACAACTATGTTTAAATGCTGTCATGATTTTGTGTTGTTTATATTAAATGGTATGTGGCTTCATTTTGTTTACACCCAAACAATTCCACCTACTGCTATGCAGACGTATAGTGTATTTTTAAATCCTCAAATACATTCAGTCTATTCAGAAGATCTATCACTGTTTATAGTACCCTATGGCAGTAATGTAATGATGTTCACATGTCTACTGTAGATAACTGCTACTCTGCTTAATGAGATAGGAGCAGCAGGGATACAAAATAATTCTGACCTTCCCCTCAGTGGAATTTCATTAATAATACTCTTCTGATTGCACACGAATAGTGCATTGTGCATTAATTAGGTGAAGGTACATAGTACACAGGAGAGTCACATGACTCACCTGTGTCCTAGTGTAGTGTTCCTGCCAACTCCCTGTTAAATATAAACACAAATATTCAGCACCACAGTGAAAGTGAGTATAAGAGACACCTGTCAACCAGTGAAGAGTTGAGAAGGCGCATTGTAAAGACCATTATGGACCTTTCTGCAACAGTGATCTTGGCAGGGCTAATCTTAGCTCTGCTGTGGTTGTTTAGTGTAAAAAACAGAAGGAACTTGCCTCCAGGACCCTTTGCACTTCCTCTCATCGGAAACCTGCCGCAGATAGAAAAAAAAGCACCTTTCAAAAGTTTTCTCAAGGTAAGTTTGGGAACAAATTACAGAATATAAACTGAGAGAGAGAACATCTCCTCATTATTTGATTTTGAATTGCATGTTGACTTTTGCACAAAAATAATTAAATTATGATCTGAATATTTATTACTTTAACAAATTATGTCTTTTTCTAGTTCAGTGAAACCTATGGTCCTGTGATAACATTGTACCTGGGCTGGCAGCGGACAGTTGTTCTGGTAGGATATGATGCAGTGAAGGAGGCTCTGGTGGACCAGGCAGATGACTTTACAGGCAGAGGGCCCCTGCCGTTTTTGTTCAAAGCGACGGACGGCTACGGTAACAAAATACACTTCAAATCTCTCATCTCTGGGAAGGGCTCAGTGATTTTTCAGTGGGTCAATGTCTGCATGTCTCTGTATGACTTCTCTTGCATTCCCCTAGTTGGTCACTAAGCACACATTTCCTTTCTTCAGGTTTGGGGATCAGTAACGGGGAGCGCTGGCGCCAGCTGCGACGCTTCACACTGACAACCCTAAGAGACTTTGGGATGGGACGCAAGGGCATGGAAGAGTGGATCCAAGAGGAGAGCAAACACTTGAGAGCCCGCATAGATACATTCAAAGGTGTGTTCTCCGCTGTTGTTGTAAGGAAACATATTTCATATGAGGTTGATGTGAAAGAGGATTACTGATTATCTGTCAAGTCAGAGACACTTAGAACAAAGAAAACAACTTATCAGTCACAAACACCAGCAAAATGTCAGTGAAATACACTGAACAGACACAAAAAAACCCTAGAAGATACATGAAGTAATTGGTCAGCACTTGAGAAGAAGCTGTGAGATGTTTTGTTGGGTTGTTCTGTGTATTTATCTCTCTTGCTTCAGCTGCACTCTTTAATTCTTATCTCTCCCTGATGGCAGTTTGCACGAAGTAAACACAGAATATGTTACATAACCTGCTATAACACTGAGGCTTAACTCAAAGTTTTGATTTACTAAGATACCGAGTGCATTTTAAACTACATTTTAATTTGAACAAATAGCATGTGTGGTAAATTGTCTACCCTAACAAAACTTTAATTAAATTTTTTTTTACATTCTATATTGATAAATACACGTCCAAAATTAAAAACCTTTGTTCCAGTTCCAAATACCCAGATAATATTGTGGCATGTATACGAAGCCAAGGATTGTGATTTCAAGCTAAATGCTTCAGGCATTTCAAAAACATTGACACGGTAGGACTCAAGTTGTAACTGTAAAATTACATCAGGTTGTTGGCATTTGAAACACATTTACATGGCAGGTAAAACATGTTCTTAGTGTTTTTTGATCACTTTTTTGTTCTGATTAGTACTTTTAACCAATGAGTCTAAATGTGTTTTCCTCTTCTACTCCAGGCAAGCCATTTGACCCCACGTTTTTGTTGAGCTGCACCGTGTCCAATGTGATCTGCTGCATAGTGTTTAGCCAACGCTTCAGTTATGATGACAAGCAGTTCCTGAACCTCCTCGGTGATTTAGCTGAGGTTTTACGGTTCAACAGCAGCCCCCTGGGTCAGGTAAGTGGCGCTGGGAGGCTGAAACTCTGATGGCTGATGGTTCTCCAAATACAATCCATATATTTTTGTCTGGTTTTAATATGGTGTCCTTATGTTATCTTTAAGACATATTAAGAGAGAATATTATGTAAGACTTAAATTTAGGGTTTTAGAATGAATGCCCCAACACACTGAACACATTTCCACATTATTATTCCCTGAGAAACAAAGCTGCTTCCCTCCCACAGATGTACAACATCTTTCCCTGGATCATGGAGCGTCTACCTGGCTACCACCACACTGTTTTTGCCAAGGTTAAGCAGATAAGAGAGTTTATCAAGATAAAGATCCAAGAGCACAAGGAGACACTGGACCCCAGCTCCCCGAGAGATTTTATTGACTGCTTTCTCATCCGAATGAATCAGGTTGGAAAAGAACTTCAGGATTTGTTTTGTTAAGGGAAATCCTAGGAGTTTCATGTTTAAAGTCCTCTGTATCCATTCAAATAATTCCTTAACATTACCTTGGGTGCTAAGAATTGTTTACTTGGTGTAGCTGTGGCTAATTTTGAAAAGATCAAATTATCAAATTTTAAGAAAACAAAAGCCCAAGTGGGCCTCTGTTGCCTGCTGCTTAAAGTGAATTTTAAAATTGTGAATTTTGGCTCAGTTGTGGATCTTATATTAATACTTTTACCACTTTGTCCCCTCAGGAAAAGGACAATCCCGCAACTGAGTTCCACTATGAGAACTTGGTGTCAACAACAATGAATCTATTCCTGGCAGGAACAGAAACCACCAGCTCCACCATCAGATATGGCCTCAGTGTGCTGATCAAACACCCCAACATACAGGGTAGATCCCATATATCTTATTTAACCAGTTCTAAATAGACTGTGGTCAAGAACTGAATATTCCTGTACCTGCCTAATAACATTCATATTGACAGATATGAATAAAATACTTTTTGCTTTGTTGTGTACAGAAAAAATGCAGCAGGAGATTGATAGTGTGATTGGAGCGGACCGTTGTCCCAGAATGGAGGACAGGAAGTCTCTCCCCTTCACAGATGCAGTCATCCATGAGGTGCAGCGTTTTCTGGACATAGTCCCATTCAGCCTCCCCCACTACGCACTCCATGACATCTCTTTTAGGGGTTATACAATCCCCAAGGTAATCATAATTACAAGATATCCTTAACGTTAGAGAAAAAACAAAAGATTTATTTCATTATTACACTAACATGACATCTTACCTCAACAGGACACTGTGATTATTCCCTTTTTGCACTCTGTACTGAAAGAGGGCAAGCAATGGGCAACTCCGTGGTCCTTCAACCCGCAGCACTTCTTGGACCAGAATGGCAACTTTAAGAAAAATCCTGCATTCCTGCCATTTGCTGCAGGTAAAAAATAGTCCTCAGTTAGTTGATAAATGATTAGTTAATGTGCATAATAACACGCTGGAAGCATGCCAACAACCTCACATGAACATGTGTTTTGTTTGTGAGTGTGGTTTTATCCAAGACTAATGGGACTATATATATTTATAATAGAGTGCTTTGTTTTTGATTGTGTCTCTTTACAGGAAAGAGAGCCTGCGTTGGCGAGTCTCTAGCCCGTATGGAGCTTTTCATCTTTCTAGTATCACTGCTACGACATTTCACCTTTTCCTGCAACGAAGGCCCTGACAGTATAAACCTCGTTCCAGAGTACAGCAGCTTTGCCAATGTGCCTCGAAGATATCAGATCATCGCCACACCACGGTGAAAAGAGCAGTCCCACTCAGGCAGCCTCTTATCGCTTCAAGTACTCACAAGGACAACTATAGATACAGCAGACAGGCCCATCAGGCTAAACAGCTTCTCTCCAAGCATAATTATGAATCATCTTTTCTCTTGGTTTGGTTGTCTTATATTTTCTTCTGTATGAATTTTAATCAGCAAAAATAAATGTATTATGTGTTGCTACAAAAAGTGCTACGTTTTTTATATAACTGGTAATAAATCACTTTGTGTTGTGGAAGAATCATACATGCATGTCATTTCTTTACATTGTATATTCTGTAATTATACACAGAATTAAATTGGAAGAAGCGCTATCAACGCAAGACAACAAGGAAATATACCCCCTTATAAAACAGGTGGGGAAAAAAAATCACCTTTAAAGAGAAAAAGTTATTTTCAAACACAAAGACTTGACTATCGTCCTGCATCAATTCCAAATCTAGATCTATTTGTTTGCTTAATAATTTATATTTATTTTAATAACCTATATATAATAACTATTTTCAAAAATCCAACACTGCAAGAGTGTTACTCTCAAAGCTACACAAATAACCACTTTGTGTATTTCTGGAGTAATGTTGGTGCCAACTCCCTGTTTCTTCAATATAAAAACAGATTATTTTGATAGAAAAAGTCCTCTATAAAAATAACAGAGTTTAAGAGAGATAACAAGCAGACAACGCATAAGTAAATTATTTAAATGTTCTAATTTTAGGAAGAGAACAATCCATCACTTCACTACAACAACTTGAGTTGAATCTTTTACAGATTCACTATACCTACTGGTAAAATAAGTGTGTAGGGTATACGCAAGAATACAGAATATACCCACTTCTAAATCCCCTCTGTGCATCAGTCAGTAGTGTGGTTTCCTAGGGAGGCACAGGTAAGACATGGAGTAGGAAATAAGGAATACTTCCATTCAAAATGCAGAATTATGTAGTTATTTCACCTGTCTCTGAGACAGTACTGATATTAATTGCAAAAACTTCTCCTCTTCTGTAGTTAAATTTGAATTTACTCCTGAAGTGCAAATACTACCAGCCCACTTTTGGGTGCACTAAACAGGCAAGAGTTGTCACATGTGACAATGTTGTTGCTTTTAACCCTGCTCCACAAAGGGGCCGGCCGCATTATGCAAGGGCAACAAAAAAAAAAGAAAAAAAAAAAAAGGCGTAGACGTTTGCACACACTCACAGGACACGTGTTATCTACTCGTCCAAGAACTGTTGACTTTCTTACACAGCTGCATCCTGCAAATCAGCAGGGCTGTCAGGGAAGGGGGTGGCTGCCCAGCAAGGAGCAGTCAGTATTTGCTGTCTCTAAAAAGCATCAGTCACTTCGCAGGTGAAAGTGTATCTTCTCCTTAATGAAGCATGGACCTCTCTGGCACGTTGATTTTAGCAGGGCTAATCATTGCTTTGCTGTGGCTGTTGAGCCTGAAGAAGAAAGAAAGCAAGTTGTGTTTACCTCCAGGACCCTCTGGCCTGCCGATCATAGGAAACCTGCATCAGCTGGACAAAAAAGCTCCCTTCAAAACCCTGCTAAAGGTGAGAATGACAGGTAAACAACATTGTCTGTGTCTGTGCCTCCACTTGCTCGCTTACGTTTGGCTGTGTTGTCTGTTTTGGCTTTAGGGTGTTTTAACTTTAACTTTATGTAACCTCACATTTGTTCTAGCACTGCTAGTGCATTGGGAGTCAAATGCATTTGCCTAAATGACTGATTCTCATTATATTTCTGAACAGTTTTGTCAGCCTCAGTTGTTAAAAGAATTATAGGTACGCTGTGTTTTAAGTCTGCTGTTTCTCATTTATGATTTTCCTAATTCTTTCCTTGTTTTTGTTAGTCCCAGAGTATATCTGTTTTCTGCAGTGCGCAGGGTGTGTTTGTTTCTTCGCATGGCTTATCAAGAATCAAAGGCATGTTGACTGCTCTGTTTAACTTTCAGCTCAGTGAAACGTATGGCCCTGTGATGACTCTTTACCTGGGGAGCCAGCGCATTGTGGTTCTGGCGGGGTACGATGCAGTGAAGGAGGCACTGGTGGACCAAGCAGATGACTTCACTGGCAGAGGTCCTATCCCTTTCCTGATGAGGGCTACCAAGGGCTATGGTAATATGGGAATTTTCGAATGTTTGAGTATGACATTCTGTGTCCTTAAAGGTCCAATATGTAGCCTAACATTTACAGTAGGAGGCTCTATGGGAAGAAATGGTATATAACATTTATTGGTATGTATGCAGGTCCTGTCCTGCAGAGTCCCCCATGTTTCTACACTAACCCAGAGCAGACAAACTGGTTCTAGATAAAGCCTTTTGGGTTTTTAGCAAGTTTCACAACAACTGTGTTTCTCCTACATGCTTGGAAGGCTGACCTGTATTTACTTGGTTGCAACATCACTGCTAGACGCCACTAAAACCTTCACACTGGTCCTTTTAATGTATCACTGAGAGCAACCAGCAGGAAGCCACTCATTTGTTAAAGGAGGCAGCAATTAATAAGAAACCTCTTTAATATAAAAGGGATGCAGTACTATTTATATTTGTATAAAATAGGACTGTGAATAAAACAAATCATGATATACAAGCTTTGTACCTGCTTGTACCAACAAATCTAACTACAGATTAAACATTAACTCAACAATACAACAGGCTTTCAGATGAGACATGAGAGAAAAATTTAAAGTTAATAAAAGCTCAGGCTTTACACAAGTGAAAGCTAACACCACAGACATTCAATTGCTCTTAGTTGGGCCTAATTAGCATTACCAGCAGTAGAAAAAAAACAAGAGCAAGAATTATCATCCCTTTTTCTTATGCCATAACTTTTTAATATGTTTTGAACTTTGAACAATATATTGAACCCATAATAGGAGAACGCTATTCTTGTAAAATCTACTTGTTATGAAGTTGTGGTCCTGTGTGAAGCACTTTGTAACATCTACCAACATTATTGTATTAAAATGATCAAAGTGAAGTTTATATGTTGTAGCATAAAGTAAAGTTTGCATTAGTTATTCCTTATTTTGGGATTCGTTGTATTGCCACCCTTTAGGAATATTGTTAAGTATTTCAGTCACAGATGCTGAAACTTAAGAATGATCAGAGTCAGAAGGAAGGAATTTGCTTCGTCATGTTGGTGCATAACAATAAACACAGGACAAGGAAAACAAGTAGTGCAAGTCAAGAATCATAAATAGAAAAGTAGAACATTTTTGCAATGTGCAGTAGAAGATTATTTGGGGGAAAATTACATCCATTTATGGTCACAGTTGGAAAGATTTTTAGTATTATTTTGTGGTTAGGGTTAGGGTTAGTGGTGTAGGGTATATGCAGGTATATAGAGTATACCTATTTATTTTTCAGTTGGAATGGGGTATCTCCACTAAATGCCTGTGTATACATTCATTAGTGTATAATCCCCTGACAATAAGAACTGTGTTTTGGTTACCTCAGAATTAGCTGTCCTGCAGAGTCCGCCATGTTTCTACATCCATAATTATGAGGTTGTCTCACCCGTCTGTGGGTGGGTATTGATTGCAACATCTGCACCTCATAATGATCTTTATTCTTTGAAGTCAAGCAGCAGAAGTTAAGTGACAGTGTGCAAATACTACGGACCCTTTTTGGGTAATCTAAATATGCAAGAGTAGTCTTACATGTTACGGTTTATAACACAGGATGTTTAACAATTGCTGGACAGCCAGTTTAAAATAAATTAAGAGTATACCCACCTCTCCAGGCATTAATACTGAACAGCTATAATTCTCAGCAGCCACAAACTCTCCATTTCCTTCATGTGCAGCGATTTATTATGAATTTCATTTAACTACCATTTGTACATCTTCAAAGGTTTGGCGATCAGTAATGGAGAGCGCTGGCGGCAGTTGCGGCGTTTCACCCTGACAACGCTAAGAGACTTCGGGATGGGACGCAAGGGGATGGAAGAGTGGATCCAGGAGGAGAGCAAACATCTGGTGGAACGCATAAATCATACCAAAGGTATGTGTGATAATGACTGTGCTTACTTATATCTTCATCAGGCATATATAGGGACAAATGTAACTAAATGGACACTCATATCTTGTTGCAACAAACCAATATTTTTTATTTACCTAAACTGTAAATAAGCCATGTGATATTCTAATTTGAATAAGGGAGAAACATAATACAAATGATAAAACCCAGTCATTCTAAGGGGCTAAATATAGGCTGCCATATACAGTACACACTACTGGAAACATGGGACTTTAAGGTGCCAGCTACCCAAATTAAATGTATCCAACTTAAAGGTCCATTGTCTAACATTTAGGATCTACTGGCTGACTGTGTTTTGGTTACCTTAGAATTAGCTGTCCTGCAGACAGACAAACGGACAAAGCAAACACTGGTCCTTTTGTGTTTTTTGCGAGTTTCGAAGTGACCGTTGTTTCTCCTACATGCTTGGAAGGCTGAGCTGTGTTTACTTGGTTGCAACTTCACTGCTAGACGCCACTAAATCCTTCACACTGGTCCTTTAACGTATCACTGAGAGCAACTAATTTGTCAAAGCAGGCAGCAATTAATAAGAAACCCACTCTCAAGGCCTGTATATCAAATATTGATATATAGGCCTTGTGCCTGCTTGTACCAACAAATCTAATTACAGATTAAACACTACAACAATACAATAGGCTTCCAGATGAGACATGATAAAGAAATGCAAGTTAATAATAAGCACAGGCTTTGCACAGGTGAAACCTAACACTACAGGCACTCACTATATCAATATATCCATTGCTAATGGATATATTAATATAAGTCTTAAAGTAAACAGTTCAGTGGTTGCGCACAACAGTCAAAAACAAAGGCAGTAACACAGTTTAGGAACTTAATTGGTTTCCCTCCTTTTACTCAGGTCCACACTGGGGAGATGGAACATACCACTCTAAGATGGGGGGCAGAATAGTCCAAGTTGCGCTGGCCTTTTTAACAGTCAGATTGGAGGTTTATCATTTTTATGTTATTCTTTAGCCACACCTTTTGACCCCACCTTCTTCATGAGCTGCACTGTGTCCAATGTGATCTGCTGCCTGGTGTTTGGTCAACGTTTCAGCTATGACGACGACCACTTCCTCCACCTTCTGCAGATAATCTCAGACACCCTAAAATTTGGCAGCAGTCCCTGGGGTCAGGTAAGAGGAGGAGGTGCGGAGAAAGCGAATTGGCAATGTGGGTGGGTTAGTGGTTAGGAAGACCACTGCTCAGCTGGAAGATTAAGTGTTTTTGAGCAAAATCCTCAAAGCTGGCAACTGACTCTGTAGTGTAGTCACGCTGAAGGTTTACTGAGCATTTTCATATTTTTTCGTTGGGACCAAAGCAATAAATGATCATGAACCGAATAACATGGATCAAACCTTCCAATTTGTAAGTTTTTGATTGAAGAAACCTGACCATTAGTTAATTTTAGTAAGTAAAGCAACTTCTATAGTTGATTAATGTATTTTGGTTCATGTACAGTAAGAGATAATCCAAGATTATAAAATCTGAAATATCTCCAGCAGGTAATGTCTCCTTTTATTATTTTATATATCAGGACACATTAAAATGTATATTTGACCTTATACAGTGGCCACTTGCTTACCTGCTGTGGCTGAGAAAGTGCAACTTGCTGCAACTGAAGAAAACATGCAAACGGCACAACACAGAGGTTCCAGGGTTAACCAGACGTCCAATCTCCAGTTGAGAAAGATATAAAGATGCTTTGGGTTGTAAGCTTGAATTTAGTTGATCAACAATCCCTTCTTGGCTTTGATTGGTAATTTTTGTTCAGGCCCAGTGTAGTCTTGCAAATTTCATCAGGATCACTAGGAGGAGCCAGAGGAACCAGAATTGTTTACCAATTATGTGTCTCATGTACTGCAGTCAGGATATAGTAAAGGTTTCAGCAAATATGACAAAAAATACTCTAATAACCTACTGCAGCTTTAACTTTTTACTAAATGTTTTTGTTTTGATTAGTTTTTACTGTCCTCTTGAAACACTGTTGTTGTGTTTGACTTGTAGCATTGTTGTAGGTTTGTGTTTACAGTTGTTAAATTATTAAATGTTTCATTTGCAATTTTTTTTTATTTGTAGTCTTTTTTCAAATGCAATGTACAGTGGTCAATATACACTGTATATTGCATTTGTAGTGTTTTCTTAAGTTGCAGTCTCTTGCCCATTCCCCCAAAATTTAGACTAGATTCAAATTTCCATCAGTTTTTAAAGAAATAATTACTTTCCCTCCAAAAATTAACTGGTAAAGTCATGCAAAGTACAAATATATTTACTTTTTACATGGTTATGATATGGTCAGTCCTTTTAGGAAATGATTTGTGGTCTGCATGCAGAGAGTCAGTGAATTTTTAGGTACTTTTGACTCCACTAACTACTGGTTATGGGACAGATTCATTCATTCTTTCCTTTTCCCATCGCAGCTGTATAATGTCTTCCCTGGGTTGATGGAACGGCTGCCAGGTCGACAGCACAGAGCATTTGCCAGAATTCAAGAACTGAGAGAGTTTATAATGAATAAGATCCAGGAGCACCAGGACACACTGGACCCCAGCTCACCCAGAGATTACATCGACTGCTTCCTCATGAGACTAATTCAGGTGTGACTGAACTCAGCTCAATAACAAGAATAAGCATGCCTATTTATTACACTTACTTATTTACTGATGCAAATGCACATACTTCCTATACTAACACACAATTCTGCAAATACTGAGCACTTTAAACCACTAGTTGCACAGATAATCTATTTTAGGGGAGTTTGAATATCTTGATTTTGATCCTGCTCTTCTTGTTTTATTTATTTAGGAAAAGGATTTCCCCACAACTGAGTTCCACTATGAAAACTTGGTGTCAACTGTGTTTAATCTGTACCTGGCAGGAACTGAAACCACCAGCTCAACTATCAGATTTGCACTAAGTGTAATGATTAAATACCCCAAAATACAAGGTATTTCACAGAAACCAGTGTGAAAGAAATTCAACAAGTCTATTTCTTTCTTTTACAACAAGTACTTGTTTAACTAAAGTTAAAAACTTTCTTTTAAAAACATCTCTATTTTACAAAATGATTGTACGTTCTTTGTCATTGTCTACATGAGCATGTCTAAAAAAATCCTCAGAAGTCTGAACCAACAAATGTTTGGCATGTTTGCTATATAAATTACTTGTATGAATTGTTTGATCAATCAATTAGTAGTGTCATCATAGTTAATTATCTCATCGTTTTCCTCATTCTGAAGAGACTATGCAGCAGGAGATTGCCAATGTGATTGGACAGGAGCGCTGTCCGTGCATGGAGGATAGGAAGTCACTCCCCTTTACAGATGCAGTTATCCATGAAATTCAGCGTCTTATGGATATTGTTCCCATGAACATCCCTCACCACGCACTCCAGGACATCTCTTTCAGGGGTTACACAATTCCCAAGGTATTCTGGTTTCAACACATAAAGATGCAGATTGTTTCCAGCTAATAGAAAATGTCTCATCTGATAGACTATATTATTGATGTTGTACAATCCCCAATGTACTCATAATTACAAGACATCCTTAACGTTAGAGAAAAAACAGGCATTATTACACTAACAAAAACAAAAGATTTATTTCATTATTACACTAACATGACATCTTACCCTCAACAGGACACTGTGATTATTCCCTTGTTGCACTCTGTGCTGAAAGAGGAAAAACAGTGGGCAACCCCTTGGTCCTTCAACCCCCAGCACTTCCTTGACCAGAATGGCAACTTTAAGAAAAATCCCGCTTTCTTGCCATTCTCTGCAGGTAAATTATGAGTACATTTCCTTTAACTATGTTACATACACAGAACGTGGCTGAACCATTGGGCCTGCTTGCTGAACAGATTTTATTGTTTACAGTTTAGCTCTTTTCTGAACTATCATGTGTTTAAGAGGCCAATTATAAGGAGGAATCCTTTTTTCTTTATCTCAGGCCTATATCTTCATTCTCATTGTGGTTTGTTTGTTGTTATATCTCAGGAAAGAGAGCTTGTGTCGGAGAGTCCCTTGCTCGCATGGAGATTTTCCTCTTTGTGGTGTCACTTCTGCAGCGTTTCACCTTGTCTTGCCCTGGTGGACCTGACAGTATAGATCTCAGCCCCGAGTACAGCAGCTTTGCCAATGTGCCTCGCAGGTATGAGATCATTGCAACTCCCCGGGGGGAATGATATTTTACTGCATCTTCAACTGTTCTACTGGCCTATAACCTCCAAATGTTTAATGTGTAGCTCAAGCACATTGACTTGATAGATTTGCATTTGAACGGTTTAAGTGGGGCCAAAGGAATAACAAACTGGAACTTTTTTAATGTGAATTTATATATATTATTAATAATATATAATGTATATTCCTGCTGGAATACTAATTGAAAGGTGACTTTAAATACAGTACCTTGTGGAAACAACTCAAACATTTCCATATAATCTATACTTTTTCATGCTTGATCCTCCTGTTATTTCTCTAGATGTTGTGATCAGTATTTACATTAAAGGACATAACAAAACAAAATCTACATTGTGTGTCATCATGTTTATAGATGTGTCAGCTTATTGTAGCTACAGTAATTCACACTTAGAGTTCACTGAGTGAAACATTCACATCCAAGATGCATTTTTTGTGGTTAAATTGATGCATCATCTTAAGACACTGACGTACACATAAAAAGATTTTATTCTAATTTGTTTTATTGATTAAAAAAAACCTGAATGTTTTGTCCAAATTCCATCAATCATTGTGTGAGCAACTGTATGGTCCCTAACCCCAGATTAACACACTCTGGTTTACAGCCCTTAACTCAGTGATGGTGATGTATAGCGAAGAGTTACAGCTGTAATTTGATGAGTTTAAGGTCAGGTGATCGGTCAAGCTGTGTGTCAGCCTGTCAGTGTGTTGATGCATGTTCTGGTGTATCACTGTCTTTCGCCTGAGCAACAACGTGAATGTCCATGTCAGACTTTGGGGATCATTGTCAAAGCTGAGGCTGCAATAATGTTAAGAACCCATCAAATTACTTAGAGTACCAACTGTCATGGTAGGTTTTATTAAACCTTAAGACTGTGTCAGGAGGTTGTACATCAAGTACACACCATTATATGTGGTACTGTATTGTATATCGAGCACTTTTTTTGGTTTTATAATAAAAAATGTACAATTTGTATTGATCCTGAAGGTAACTAATGAAAACAATTATGACAAAATAAATATTATTAAAAATACTTACAAACTAGCTGAACCCTAACAAGTATATTTAATAGTCAGTATGAACCTACATGGGGATAAGTTGTCTATGACTGCGCCAAAAAAGAAATAAAACTATAGTACTTTTGTCCAAGTGATGATGGCACACTGGTGACTTTTAAAAGATCATATTTAATTTCATTTTATAGAGTAACCATTGCATCTGGTCCAAGGTGTGTTCAGCACTGTCACTTACTGTACTCTTTGGAAATGGTACCGTAAGTGTGTTGCCTAACCTACAACTGTAAAATGCCCTACCTATTGTGTGTTGTGTAAAGAATGTTAAGTGATAATGTCAACAAACATGACAAGTGAAAGTGATCATAGAATTAAAACACACGGTCTCACTGTCACAGCAGGAATATAGGACTGTATTGAAATGATAGTACTAAGCAGATCACAAGTCCATCTTTCTCAGTTCAGCCACAAACGTGTAGACTGATTCGTTGCTTTGTTAAATGTTGGGCAGGTGATATTTATGCTTCACCTGTTTCTTTACATCCGGTGCTGGTGAGATGTTGCTGTTTGGTAACTGAGGCAAGTACTGAGCCTAGAAAGAGAAAAGGGGAAGAAAGAGAAAGAGAAAAGTCCCATGAGTAAACCTCCAGAACTATCTTCTGGGCATTTCTCTAACCTGGTGGCTGTTAAAGGTAGGTAGTTTTTTTTCTCTGAGAGAGGTCAGTTTGAATTCAGGCCAAGTTCAAATGTATAGCAGTGGCAGCAGCTGTGAGCTCTTTCTAAGTAGTGTAAGCTGAGTATCATATTTTCAGTGTTTGGAAGAGGCATATAAATGCAGAAACCAACCCATAACAACATTACAAGCATACAGCAAGACACTGAACCTCTCCCAGCACCTCTTCTCCCTCTAGTTCTCTGCTATAGCCCCATTGACCAAGCAAGTACATGTAGAGGTACAGTGACCAACTATTGGACAAGGTTGGTCGTAGCAGGGTATACAGTCTGTTAGGCTGTGGTTATGGGAGGATTTCTTACACCCTTAATCCACTGTGTTTCATACGTACCCCTGCCTGTCTACGTCGGGAGCCTTTGTCATGTCGTCTCCCGGGGCGCTCACCATCACGGCCCCAGTTGGCTACTCCTTCCTCCTGGAAGTAAGGCAGCTCCAGCAGCTCTTCACAGGACAGCCGGAGAGAGGGGTCCATCACCAGGCAAGACTGCTCGCACAAAGAAACACAGAGTTGGCTTCATCAAAAAGGATCTTTTGAATTTGGTTATTAAAGAGTTGTGAATTAGATATGCCAAGCTAACATAATTTCTTATTGGCAAACATATACAGTACACTGATATATATCTATATATCTATCTATATATGTTGATATATCATTCAGGCTCTATTACACATAAATATAACATACCTTCATAACCTGGAGGGCATGAGGAGACACTCCATGGAAACGCTTTTCCAATGGCTCCTAAGTGCAAAAGTAAATGGGAAATAGTAACAATAAACACATTTAAATTGCCTCTCCATTAAGAACATGTGCAATTTCAATGGTAACAGGATTCATACCGTAGTATCAGGTTCAGGAATACTAACTCCACTGAAGAAAACATTGGAGCGGAAGACCTGTTGATGACGAGGGATCAGGTCACCTGAGGTTAGAAATGAAATAAATAAAAATTTTCATCCAGTACTAGCATTTTTATCAGCGTGTGTATTGTATGGACATTTTGTTAAATGGTTTGCAAAACTTAAGATCCTTAGGAGACCTCACAAAAATGTTGAACTAAGATCTAAAACATCCACAGTAGATATCTATATTTTGGTGTTATGTCCTTAAAAATAAAAGAGCAAGTCTTTCTTTCTTTACCCATAAAGTCCACTGTAATAGAGGTCAAGTTTATTTAGTGTACTTTCACATCTAACTTGTTTGATTCAGTTCATACAGACTCTTAGTTAGCTTAGACTGGTGTGAATGCTTAAAAAAGGTAGATCTTCGTCTGCTTTAAAGCTGACTGGTGCAGCTTGTTTGTGGCATGTAAGAAAAGTAAACCAACCACAGTATGAATCTAAAAACCGTTAAATTATGAAATCCACCAGCTAATTGAAGGAACTGTTAAGAAAGCAACTTAATATGCGATCTGTATAAGTGATCTTCACAACTGCAGTGCAAGTGAGTTTCAGCAGGTGCATCCATATGAAGATTAGTTCTTTTAAGCATCCAGTAATGTGGTCTTTTATTAGCGCACCTAGAGTTTTTCGGATGAGGTAAAGCTGGTCAACGTCAGACTTCCCAGGCCAGAGTGGATTGCCATGTAGCAGCTCAGCAAAGACGCAGCCCAGAGCCCACACGTCCACAGCAGGCCCATACTGAGTATCTCCAACCAGCAGTTCAGGGGCCCGGTACCAGCGGGTTGCTACGTAGTCTGTGTAGTCATCCTCTGGTCCTGCTGAGTATACAACACACAGACAGATGGAGATAACTTGCAGAGGACAGACATACACTTAAATACTGAATAATGAACACCAAATAACACGTACATTGTAGAGGAAGGGATTACAAGGCATGCTTAATGACTACATGACTACATGTTAATGTATGGTAACATAACACTGAAACCTAAGGCAGGAAGGGTAAACAGAGACACACCACACAGAGACGCACTAACTGGCTGACTGGTCCTCCTATCCAATGCAATCATTGAAACATTGAAAGTGAGGAGGCCATCAGGAGCAGGAGCTGATATAGGTTCTGTGTTGAATAAGTCATTAGAGGCACATTAACACTAAATGCACATAATTGCACTGGCTCTCTGGATGACCTACTCAGGATGCGGGCGAAGCCAAAGTCGCAGAGCTTGATGACACCGGTTTTGGTGAGGAGGATGTTCTCCGGCTTTACATCACGGTGGATGCACTGCAACATAAATGCTCAGGATCAATGATTTGGCCACACAGTACACAGTCTCTTAGTGATAGAGAAAGAGGCTTTTTAAAGGCTGACAGATTAGGAATGGACGTGGATGAACAATAGCAAGAGATCAAAAACCTATAGGCATTTCAGTATTGAGACTGAACACTGCATTGCAGTCACTGAGACTTAAATGATTCCTGTTCTGGCGAATTGAAGCCTAAACAAAGTCAGAGTTTGTGTTCTGGGATTATACTTTATTTTAGTCACAAGTTTTGTGATCTGACAAGGTTGCGAATTTCTGGACAGCTTTAGTCAAGTCTCATAAGTCTTTGAGACAAACATTTTGTACTGAAAACTGAGCTAGTTATATATAACCTGGTTATGCAAGGTTCTGGAAATTGGTACATATTTCAAGCATTTCAAGATTTCTCTTGCTAGTATTTACCTGATATATTGATTAACAATAACTTGATGAAGCATATGTAGTCCAGTGATGGAGCTAAAAAGCACTCACATAATAAAGGAAGCAGAATCATGCAACACTACGCAGAAGCAATAATATGTTCACAACAGCGCCACCTATTGAAAGACTACTTTCTATTATAGTTTTTTTGATTGATTGATTGAGAATTTTATTTTGAACATATAAAAGCCAACAAAACACTAAAAATAAGATAAAATAAAAGTGAAATGAAGAGAAATATACAATGAGAGAAAAAAGTATTAATATATATTACTGATATATTAGAATTTACCAAGACTATCTTTATATTATCTTTTTTGTATATAAATATCTTTACATACTACATAATTTCTCATTCTACATAATTCATATACATACATTAACTATTCATACATTTCATACATACCTACATACATTCATATCTAATCCTACATACCAAGTTTTTAAATGTGTATTCCACTAAAATATTACTTTATCCAAGTATTTTGTGTTTTAAGGTTTATAGCCCATGATGGGTAACCTTTGGTGTAAATTAGTTCTCATTATACTATACTATTATAAATATGGATCATAGCTCTGCCGTTTTGCAGTCACATAAGGTCTCAACCAGATATTTGAAAGGTTAAAGAGAGAAAAAACAGTAAAGTTAAGCGAACAGTAGAGCATAAGGACATGTTCAGAGTTTATCTTACATAATAATCAGGGGCTGTAGGCTGAGAGAGTTAGATTTGTTCCTGTGGTCGTTCATTCTTTCCATTCTACGTTTGTAAAAATATGGTGGACAAAAATACACAGTCTGTAAAAATAATAAAATCTAAAATCAATAAAAAAGTCAGAGTTTACCCCCGAGGCTGCCCCCAATATTTTATAATGTAAGTCATACTAGGAAAGCAAAAAAGAAAAACACAGTGGGAGAAAGTCAAAGAATAAATGCATAAAATAAAAAAACAGCATTAAATTAAGTCCCAGAATAAGAAATATATGACATTGTGCTTGAGCAAAAGTTAAACAGCCTGCAGAGTCTGGCCATACTATACTTTTCAGCTGAGCCTCCAGGTACCCTGCAAGGAACAAGAGACAAAGGAATATGATTTGGTTGTAAAGAGCCAAACAAACAAAACCTATTTTACAGCGCTCGTGTTTTCCTTGTCTAGTATTCCAGCGATTTCAAAAAAGAATGTGCTTTTAACGCAGCCCTCTTGTCACCCGGGGTAACCTAGGCCTGTCTCTAACAGCACAGTGCCTTTTGTTTTCAGGAGCAGCTAGATTTCTGCTGCACAGCCGTCTGAGAAAAGGAAAAAATGGTCAGACAGCAACTTTCATTGTGCCCTCCTTTCTGGTGACTTCACATGACAAAACTGTAAAGGTTATCTTGTGACATAGATCTGCCAGAGATGCTCAAAGCACGAAGCCTAAAAAGAGAAGCCTTTCCTTAAATAAGAAATATTTTTGGGTTTAGACTTGCTCTTCCCTCTCACTTGTTGCCATCCACTCACACGATCCTTTGAAATATCGTAGCAACAGTCTTAACTACCTCTTTGTAATTCACCCTTTTCTTCCTGCCTGCATTTGCCAAACTAATGGAATAAGGAATTCAGCATACTTTACTTAAGTCACCAATATCCAGTGTATAAGAAATGCTCCAATTTTCAACCAGTCTGCTGGCATTCAAAATTGTGCCATTAAGTAAAAGTTAGAAAGTATTAATTAGCAATGTAATTAACATATCAACAAGTAAAAGTAATCATTATGCCGCAGAAGAAAGGGCCCCTGTCCAGGCATACATTAATATAGATTATTATATTTGATTGATGTTACTGATGTTTCTGTAATCTGACACAAACACAGACAATCACTTTTTTGCACATTTTGAAACTGTAATTTGATCTTTATATATCTTTTATAATTATATAATTTATTTCTTGGTTGCT